GTGTGTAGAAATAGCACAGTCTTTCAGTCCAATGTCTTAGGCAAAGGGTAGGGAAGAGGAGTGCTGGCAGACAAAGCAGCAGATTAAAATCTAACAGCTGAAGCTGTCACTGTCCTCGCCTCCCCCAGTTTTATCTCCAACCTTTCTGATGGCTACTGCAACCCTGGAGGTAGGGACACCTGATCTGGTTATGAGCGTACTCCTGAGCCCACACCATGCTTAGCCCAGTTTATTAATGCTAGCAGATATTAATTTCAGCTGGCTGTAATGCGCTGGCTCAACACTGCAGTGGTTTCAGAATCAACGCAGAAGTGAATCAGACATCTCTGCCTCAGGGGCAGCAATGTGTCAGCAGCAGGGTAGGCATCCAGGGCTGGTAGCAATTTGAGCCACCAGATTTTATTCTGCCACTTCCAGCCTGTCAGAACTCTAATCCCAGAATAGTTGGTGGAATTCACCCTCTCTTGGAAAAATGCCTTACGCTTTTTCACGTCAATTACTCTGCCTGGAAAGCAGAGAGAGTTTCTCTATTAGAGAGTTCAGAAAGACACAGGGAGAATTTAAATTAATGCTGTGTTTTCAGACAACTTCAAATATTTCCTCCCTTCTAGGCTACACTCTTCATGAATGAAAAAGAATTTGCAAACTTGCGCACAAGAGAATTACTAGGCCCAACAGAAAACAATGTCTGTGTCTTACTATGCAAATTCTTTGTCTGACACCTGAAAATCACCAGATGACAACTCTGAAAGGTTGGGGTCCTTTACCTACAGCACTGCACAGCCATTTCTCACATAGCCTCCCTTCATTTGTGTGAAGAAATACATATTTTTTGCAATGTTTCACCTATCTTCTGACAGGACACATAATGATTAACAGTTTAATTGCAATCTGATATGAGATCAATAACAACAGATTTTGAAATGAAGGATTAACTTCTACCAATAAAACCACATAGAAACAATCTCATGTTTTTGTGATTCCCCCTTCCTGCCCCCTCCCCAGTACAAGCATTTTAAATTAAGGCCCAAATCTTGCTGGAGTATAAAGCAAAGTAGGTTTCCTTAGCCAATTTTGATTCTCAAGACTTCAAACATGAAATAAACACAAAACAGAGAAAGAAACATCCTTCACCTGGTTCTTTCTTTAAAGACATCCTATAGTTCATGGCTACTGCTCACTATTACCTGGGAAGACCAACATATACGGTTGATAATTACAATTCAAATAATATCCTAATTAAGTTGAGAAGTGAATAATAAGCCCCAGAGCTGGCAAAGCGCTACTAATTAGTATTCACATGTCAAGCACGTGTCCAGTATGACAGAGACTGCAATCCTTATAAAACTGAACCACTTCTGCCGTGCATGTGTGTGTGCGTGTGTCTTTCTCTCTCTCTCTCTCTCAAAATGGCTGGCATATTCTAGCTATCAGATATGATCCTTTCCTTCCTAAAGTAGTATTTTCCGTAATTAAAATTCTCTTTCCTGAAAAGACTGTATTTTTCTCAGGAGTGTCCCAAGGGACAGCACACAAAAATACAAACTCATTCACAGGACTACCAAACCCATAACATGGAAATTATTGAGAATCAACACCTGCTCATTAATTTACACACAACAACACGATTCACAAGGTAAACCTCCACATTTTTTCTCTGACCATAAGAAAACAAATTTTAAGCATCCATTGGAGGCAGGCTGAATGATACTTTCAGTATAACCTGCATTGCAACAAAAATGAAAAGCTTGTATCTGCTGATAAAATTCCTCCACCCTGATATTAACATACTGAATAATTTTACTGACAATTATTTATTTAACACATAGATAACCCTACGTTAAAGAAGAAATGATGAGCTGGTTAAATCCACTGGATTTTTACTTTATCTTTTAGTATCTTCCTATATTAAATGATTTTCTTCCAAAAAAAAAATCAGAAGAAAAAAAACCTGCCTAACAGTTGCAGAACACAAGCTTGGCATATTTGTGAAGTGATTCTAGGATATTCTTTACCATATGCTGACTTACCAGAAGTACTTTTCTATTTGGCTAAAGGATCATTTTAAAATGTCAAGTTAGAATTTGTGAAAGAGATAAGGCAAATAGAAAAATTGTTCACGTAAGATGTCAATTTAAGGACCCCATAAAAAAAAAAAAAATACCACCAAATTTGAGTCTAGATCTCTAAGAGCAAATATCTTGTTCTGAAATTTGAGGTTATTTTTTATTTTTAGCAAACATGGAAGTATCATCTCTATAACTGGATCAGCTATGATTCATAGGAAAAGAGCATAAGAAAGAGTACAATCTAAAAGGACAGACTGTAACAATTCCAATGGGGACAACCTGCAAAAAGCAGACCAGAATATCCTCTATGATGGCTGGGAATTAAGCTGGGAGATGGAATTGGTGACTTTCCTATGAAAGACTGCAAGAAAAAGCTACCACAAGGGCCATTGGAAGAGTGTGAATGCAAAGAAAGAAATAATCAGCAGCTTTAGTCTCTTCTCCCTCCTGGAAAGAAAGGTTAGGAACATTGCGCTCTCTCTTTTTGGAACTACCCTTAGTAGCAAAAGGCCCAGCTTTCATCTTTAGCTCTGTCATACTGGGCACAAATGGGAAATTTCTGCACTCAAACTTCCACGTTTGAACCCTAACCAAAATTTCCGATTCCTACTACTTAAAACAGAACTGAAGCCTCAAGCTGCCCTCAGTCGAGATGCCTGCCACCTGCCATTGGCTGTGACAGTAAGGGCACCCTTGGGAAAAGGGTTGTCCCCAGTCCCAACGTGACCAAAAGCAGGCAGGGAAGGTGGTGATTCCTCTTCCCCAGTACATCTATTTCATGGCTAAAATAAGCGAGCAAGCACGGGAGTTTGGAAAGCCGGAGAGAACAGGGGAATACAGAGGTTACGTGTAGGATGGGGTGAAGACTGGGAACACAAAAGGGACTTTGGGATGCACAACGAAAAAAAAAAAAAAAAAGAGAAATGGGACAAAATGGAACAGAGATGCTATGGAAAACCCAGTATGTGAAATAAAAAATAGAGACAAATTGTGTGGAACAGGAGCCTGGAGGAGTTACGGAGGCCGGGGCAAGGCGGAGGGTTAAAATGGCAGCTGCCTGTATTCCCAGACGGGCGGCAGGTAAGCAAAGTGCCTTGCACACCACCAACAGACGTCCAAAAATTAACGTGTTTGGGGCTAGCACGGCTGGGAAGCAGGCAGCCTTCCACCCCTGGTCAGGGTCTTCGGTAAAGAATAAAAAGAATAAAACACCAGTCGGGGGACGGGGACTCAGGAGGGCCCTGACTGACCTGGCCGCCCGGGGCCCCGCTGACAGGAGCCCGGCGGCGCCATGTGCGCCCCGGGGCAGGCAAGTTTTCGGTGGGAGCAGCCCCGAGTGGAGTTTGTGAGGAGATTTTTAAAGCTGGGAAACGAAAAGGGAGAGGCTCGGGGAGCGGGGTGCTGTGAAGGAGTGCCCGCGGGGTCCGGGCAGAGCCGGTGTGGGGCTGACAGGGGTGGGAAGGGCTCCTGTGGAGGCGTGAGGAGGTAGTGCTGCGGCCGTCAGGGGGCTGCAGGGGAAGACGGAGGGGAAAAAAAAATAAAAAATTAAAAAACTGCCGGGGGTGGGCGTCGGGCGGCCGGGGCCGGAGGGAGGCTGCCCAGGGGGAAGGCGGGTGCGCGGTGAGGGACGCCGGGCGCTCACCTCGGTCCTCCAGCCCCTCGCTGAACTGCCCGCTCTCCCCGATCCGCAGCTGCTGCTGCTGCTGCTGCTGCTGCTGCTGCTGCTGCTGCTCCCGGGGGGGCAGCGCCGGGCTGCTCCCGGGGGGCTGCACGATGGCGGGGTCCGGGGTGCTGTCCAGGGCGGCTGCGGACGGCTCCATGGCTGGCGAGGAGGCGGCTGGCGAGCGGAGCGGCGAGGCGAGGAGCGAGCGGGAGCATCCAGCCCGGGTGCGAGCCCGGGGAGAGGAGGAGACAGACTCCGGCTCAGAGCATCAGGGAGCCGGGGCCAGGCGGCGAACAAACTCCTCCGGCTGCTCCCCGCGGCCGCCTCATCGCGAACCTCGGCGCCGCCGCCGCCGCCGGGGGGCAGGTGGGAGAGCGGTGCCGCCTCCCGGCGCTGCCCTTCCCCTCCCCGCCCCGGGGAGCGCCTTCGGAGGCGGCAGCAGCAGCGCCCGGCTCCGGGGACGGGACCGGGGATGGCACCGGGACCGGGGGGCAGCTGTGCCCCGTGCCGAGCGGCCTGTGAGGAGCCGCCGTCCCGCCGGGGTGTTGGGGAGGGGAGAGGTGTCGGCGCTCCCTCCCCTCAGGGCCGCCGGGGCTGGCTGAGGCTGAGGGAAGCCCCCCACAGCCCGCAGGGACCTCGGGCTTGAGGCGCTTGGCCTGGCGGGCTCCCCTCGCCATGCCGGGCTCTGCCTTCCCCCTGCGGGGTTTGGGGTGTCTTCAGAGGGCAGAGCCCCCCGTGGCCCCCTTAGGATGAGGGGCAAACGCTGCCCCCCGCTCCCGAGGTGCTGGTCCAGCAGGGGAGCAAGGCGCCATCCGCCCCTCCTGCCAGATTTGCAGGTGAATTTGCTCTCTCTCCATCGGCTATTGCCATTTTTCAGGACCACATGCACCCCTCTCAGATCCCGCAGAGGTGAAATTTGGTCATGTTGACAGCCATTAGTTAATATTAGGCTAAAATCTGTCCCAAAACATACGGCGGTGTCATGGGGGTGCATGGGATTAGAGCTGGAGACTTGGTGGTGTCCACGGACACGCACAGTTCTCTCGCTTGGCCTTCCTAGGGCCACAGAAAAACACTGGTGGAAAACAAAAACAAAAACAAAAACAAAAAACAAAAAAACTTAGGAGAACAGAAGTGGGGAAAAAATAGAGAATTTTACTGATAGATCTGTGCCAGAGCTGTTAGCTTCTTCCTCTCTGCTGGTTTCTAATGACTAAATAGAGAAGTGCAAATAAGGAAAAGCGTTTTCTGTGCTAGCACAGGCTCCCAGTTGCGTGCTCACTGGCATGCAGATAAATGTTGAAACTGCGCTGTGCTCTGACTTGCATCTAGGAAAATACCAGAAGACAATTAGACATTGCAGCCCGGGTCCTCAGTCGGTATGTAAACGTATAATCTCCATTTATGTTATATAAAGTTCAGGTTGCCTTTCTCTTTTGACAGGTTAGCAAATCTGGGGAGTATGCAAAGACCAATGGGAAACCAATATTTATGCAAACCGAGGAACATGATTTTGTATCCTGTCAATCTTGCCTTAAAAAAGTTTTGTGACGCTTTAGGAATACCTATTTGGGAATGGTTTGTGAGCTAGTGAGCTGACTTAGGTTTAAGCAAATGCCTCAATGCTGTGTGATAATCTTTTCAGCTGTATTTTAAAACATTGATTATTTTAAAAAGTAAATATAAGTAAACATTAAGGAAAGGTATATAAACTATAATTTTAGAAACTTATTGATGTTCAGGCCTTATAGAATGAAGATGGAATTCAACCTTATAGAATTGAGTTGGCTATCATGACGAGAGGGACTGGTGTTTGCTTTTTACCTAACCTCATGATTCCTTCATGTATGGTCTGCTGTGCATACTAAATGAAATATTTTTGAAGTCTTCTGCCTCTCACTTAAATTTGATCTTCACCCTTATCTATCTTACTGTGCTTGGTGATCTCAGGGCTTTTGCTCTTCTAGTTGGATTGACATAAATGTGAATATAAACAATGCCTACGGTATTTTTATTTTCCTTCATGTAATAGATGCAATATTGTAAAGTGTCTATTTGATGTTAATGTCAAAAGACATTCTCACTTGCATAAGCTAACACAAGTGAGTTATTCTGAGGAAAATGCTTTTTGGGGTTTGGGCTTGGCTGGGAGAGATTGGAAACTAGTAACTCCAAATATATTTTTTTTCTTTATGGGCTGTTCATAGATATGAGATATAGATATGAGACATGAGAATGAAAAGTAGAAAATAACTTTTGTTATTTGCTCAAAGTATTAGATTGCCACATCTCTGTAGCACTTATAATGTGTTTGTAAAGAAAAGAGAATCCTTACCTTTGAGTAGAACCAATTTTGTAACCTGATGAGAGACAAAGGATTGGGGCCAAATCACTTTTCAGCACCTGGCAGGGATACAAAACCTCTGAGTCAGATTTGGGAGTCATGCTCCCATGCAGAGTTTATCCATTGCAAGCCATGAAGAATCCCTTGAAATTGCTGCAACGGATTTAACGCTCCCTAATGCAACTACTGCAAGATTCTCTCTCTTCTAGGGAGGTATGTCCATATCAAATGGATTCCAGCAGGATTCCTTGCATAAATGGAAAACAGACCACCGATTCGCATCGAACACTACTTCCTTTCTGTAAGTCTCTCTAAGTTACTTTAGCATTCTTATAACTTCCAGAAATCATCACAAGAGGAAAGTTCCTGGAGATTCCTAATTCTATTTCTTTAAAAGGAGGTGAAAGAGGCAGGTTTCCAAATGACTTGGAAATGAAAGTTAAAATAATAACAATTAAAAAAAAAAAAAAGCTAGGAAGACCTAACCAGAAATTTTCAACTTTAATATGTTTCGTTTTCTTTTTTTAGATGTTCTCAATTGCTGTTCTTGCATGAAACTGTCTGGTAGGGGCTGCAGCTGTCTCTATTTGTATAAATGCTATAGTGTTCAGGCTATAGAAAAGAATATGAGGCTTGCAAAGAATATTGGTGTTTCTTCTAAATTACTCTTTTCAGTGCTTTCAAACATGGCCTCACGAGAAGGGGTGTACTCTGTCTGTAAGTAAATACAAATTCAAAACATTCAACTCCACAATGCAGAGTCTTTCAGATCAGACCATTATTTATATAAGCTGGCTATTGAGAAGCAGAAAGACTGCAACATCATAGAAGCTAGAAGCTGCTTTCTTTTCCAGCATTGCCTATAATTTCTCATGACACCTCTTTGACCCAAAGTATATTACATTGGATAAAGAGGTAAGGTTAGGGGTTTAAAGACCTGGGTCCCGTTTTCCATCCCTGTTGGACTTTTTGTGTAGCAAGTCTGTACGCAAAGTCAACAAAGACAAAAAGACCTGGCCATAATCACTGTGTTATTATATGATATTATTTCTTGGCTTCTCTAATATCCCTTTGTTGGAGAGGAACCAGGAGAACCCCAAATCAATTAAAAACAAACAAACAAAAAATCAATGAAAAATCGCTTCCCTGGGTTCAATCTAAATCAGCTGATGCCATCCCATGTTCTGTAGCTGCTGCAAGATTAACATCCACTTGCAGAACTTTCTTCCCTGCTGGAACTGCCTGTAATTTCCATAACGTTTTGCCTTCCATAGAAAAGGTGGTTCCAAATTGGATGGAGGTCTCTTGCACCCCAGCAACCAATGATAATGAAGAGAGCCTTGTTTTTCTTTATCCAGATTGTCTATGTTCTGTTTTTGCTGAGGTTACTTGTGGTGGTGGTGGTGGTTCATTTGTTCCTTCTTCCTGCCCCTCCTCCTTCCTTCTACTGAATAAGTGAAAAATACCTATCAGATTTGTGATACTTCCTTCAGGCCCACTCTAACTCTTAGCAGTCACAGAAAAAAAAATATATTTGACAAAGTTTGGATGAGGTCCATCATTTTACTCATTTCCAAGGTAGACATTCTCCTGGGGAAATAGCATTCTCTTGAGAGTAGAGTAAGCTGTCGTCCTGTTATAGTCCCCTTGTTTCACTTAAACAGTGTCATACTACCGTCAGCACCCACTATGGCATGATAAAGAGCAGCACAGTGCAACGAGGCAGAAAGAACGTGGTATTACCTCATTCTGCAGAGTGGAACCAATGGGTGGCAATAGGAAAACAGGTCCCGGTTCTTCTGTCAGATAGTGGTCACTGTGCGAGTGTAGAACATCTGTTATCCCTCGTCAGTCTCTGTAGAGTGAAATAAATCCATTTTCATTATAAGCACAGTTGGATGTGTTAGTATTATATGTTCATTTGTCATGGCGAAAATGAGAGGTACATCTATTCTAGACTTATATTTCCTTTTCTTTTAGCACTACTTACAGGAACATTTTCACCTGAATTAGCAGAACACTGTGGTGCATTCAGAGACTCCTAAGAAGGAAGTTTGCTTGTTTTGATTGACATTAACTAGTCAATATTCCATATTGACCAGCACCTTGAGTGCAGCACTTAAGTTGAGAGCACTCTTGCATATTTGGGAAGAGTGTCAGCTGGCCCAGTGATTATGTTTTAGTATGTTTAAAGGCATAAGAGCAATACAATACTGTCACCATTAGCCAGGTTGTTTGCAGGGTTGTGTTTCATACACATCTTAAATGGAAAAACTGCCTTTTTCTGGCAGCAAAATACTGTATTTGTCACTGACATTTTATTGCAGTATCAGGAGTGCTAGTGTAGGCCAGGATGGTTTATTAGTTTGGTCAGAGGCCTTATGACATTCAAAAGAAAACATTCACTTCGTACTTTCATCAGTTGGTATTTCATGGAACCCCAGCAGGAGGTAATAGCATCCCCATTCAGTTCCACAGGAGACACATCTGAAACAAAAACTAAGTACCAATCCAATTCCAAGTGGATGGGCAGACAACTATCCTGTAAAGGTCATCGCTATAGATAAAATTCACTGTTACTCCTCTAAGGCCAAGCTCTGAGACTGATTCATCCAAATACTTCTAAAGGCAAAGCCTTCAAGTAAGTGTTGGTATTTTTTAAACACTCAGTGCATGCCATACAACTACCATTTTGTGTCCATTGTGTGGGTGAGACAGTATGATTCTTTGCCATTTAGACATTTTCTCTAGCAAAACTAATACATGAAATACATCTCTAAAGTGATGAAATCCTCTAGATTCTGTATTTCACAGCCTTCTTATAACAAACCTAATCTTTTATTTTTATAGTCTCTTGACCATCTTGTGCAGTATTGGCTTCCATAGTTATGTTTTATGAGCAAATACAAATTAGGCTAAATTTTGTGGGATGTTTTTAACTGTTTCTTTGTTTTCTTATTTTTTTTTGCATGTAGATGGAGGAGGATACGTATTTTCCTATTGTTTTATAGATCACTTGTAGTCCCACAGCATGTTCTACAGTCTACAGGATGAGAAATTCTATACTATGTTCTCTTAACTCTGTATATATACCTCTGAACCTAGCATTAGTCACCCTATTTTTTAATCTAAAATAATGCAATAGTAATGATATTAATACAACAATGGTACATTAATTTTTAAACTGCACAGCAGAGTTAAATTATTACCCAATGTATGGAGGTCACTTAGTGTTTTTCTCTTACAATGGGTTAAATAGAGTTTAAATTGAACTAATCTCTCTTCTTGGCATTTTTAGACTGAACATTAACTTGGGTCAAAAATAATCAGATTGTTATTTTGAGAAAAGGATATGATAATTCGGTATTTTTTCCTTCAGGCTATGAAAGAGTGCATATAATACTATTCCCAGGGGATACAGCTTGCAATGACCTTGGTAAGTAATTGATGACACCTCACATAAGCACCTACTCTTCCTCTATATGATGTTGCAGGATCATATTTGCAAAAAATGCCCAAGCGATCTGGAGCCATGAGCATTAATAAATGCTATTGTGGCTTCAAAAGAGGAGTGAAACACTGTGCAAAATATGTCATCCTTAAGTGAGCAGATCTTGAAGAAGATTCTGCACAATGGACATTTCTCATCTTAAAACTTTTTTAAAGCTGGTTTTGAATTAAAAATTAAATATAAATATGGGAAACCAAAGGTTTACCCGCAAAAACTAAACTTAATATTTTGTTTAGAGAAGCATAACATCATGCAAGATTGCATGCCTCTATTCTAAACAAATGTATTTAGCCTTATGCATTAAAAATATATTAAAAAATAAGAGTCATAATGACTACCTTGAATGTAAGGATTTCGTGAGAAAAAGGGACTAGTTGCATTTATTTATAGGATTTGCCTGTGTCTGAAGAAAGACATGATGGGATTTATGCATAATGTTGTCCAACCCATACCTATTTGCTTTTCCAATCTTTTAAACTCTCTAAGCTGTGACTTGGATTAAAATCTTATTCTTTGGCAAGTAGCATCATCAACAAAAGAGTGATCTTCTTTTGCCTTGCTGTATATTTATTTTTTTTATCAGAAGATGATGTAGAAGTATTTGAGGAAATACATTATTGTTAACCTGTAGCAAACTAACTATATGTATATTTCTTCCACTCTACTGGTAAGTAAAGACTCCACACTTCACTTATGCTGTGAATTGTCTGATAAAATGTATATGACAATATTTTTGTATTGTTTTGAATAGCTAATCCACATTGTTTAGAGAGTTGGAAAAGAATATCTTATCCTTTTCTTATGCCAAGTGAATTGCAACTAGGGTTCTGTGCATTTCCACTTGAGTACTTAGCCAGGATGATTGTAGAAAGTGTTTGAAAATAGAATGTTAGCCACAGCCAACATGAATGTTTTGTAAAAACATGTTCTTCATAACCAGGAAACTACATTCATTCTATTGTGTGCCAGTTTTTTGTGTTTTTTTTTTTTGTTGTTGTTGTTTTTTATCTGTCCAGAGAGAGGCTTGACTGTTTAAATCATCTCACTCTTCTAGGTTTTGATGGAGATCAAATTCCCAGGTACTTAGTCCACCTGTTGCCAGCTTACATTTCTTTGTTTGGTTTTGTTTCTGATTTTTTTTTTTTTTCCTGAGTGGTAGCAGAATTAGTTTCCTGACTCGTGGCATGCAATTTGAGTTTGAATATTTCATTTCTATCACTGTAGGTAAAATCATGAAATTCTTCAGATACTAATTTTAGGAATATTACTGGGTTAAGCAAAAATAATGCAGGCAGCATGTAGAGCAATTTTAATAGGATCCTTGCATCCTCGATTTTCTGGATATATTTATTATTTCTCATCCTCTTAGGTAAAAGGTTCAGTGGGCAATGGGAAAAATAGGAAACAGTGATTAAAATTCCCTTTGTGATTTTAAGAACATGAATCACATAATTCACTGTATTATTCTAGTGAGAAGAAACAGGAGCTAGTTTTTTGTGGAATTGAAGACCAAAATTTTCTATTGTATTGCAGCTAAGCCATTTTTCATGTGCAGCAGTAGCAAAAGTGATGGATCTGTTTGATCTAGAATGATGAAATGTGCTGTGAATATTGACATTTATCTATCCATACTGAATATCATCTGAATTTGTATAAGGTGACAGGGTAATTGGTTAATAAGCATACTAAAACATTTATATTACATTTAGCAGTGACATGGAGTTATGCATGGCTACCAGCATTTGCTAATTTTACAGGGAAGAGTAGCATCTTTAATAAGCTGAGTTCTAGTCACATTTTTCATTTTCTGCAAAGCTGTCAATGGTGCCCTAAAAATAATCAAGAGATGGTCGATCATACAGTAATACAGACAGCTTCTTCTCCGCCATCAAGACTACATGTACCTTCAATATCAGGGTTCAAAAACACTTCAACAGCCACAGATGTTTCACTTAATTTTCACATCGTGTTAGAAAATATGTATTTTAGGGTGTTTACATTACTTATAAAGTTTATGTACTTGGTTTCATTTTAATTTATCTATTGACTGACACAGGTGTATGTAGGCTGTACAAATTAGGTACATTTTACTTATAATTTTGGTCAATTTGAGACAATATTTGTATAAAAAATAAGTAATAGATTTTCCTAAACCAGTTGGTATAATTCGTTTCCAAGTAATACACTCAGAAAGTGTAGCTGGGCAGACAGTCCTCATGACTTCAAGAAGGGTTTGCATGTGCAACAGTGCCTACTTTTTTCACCTGATGGTTTAATTAAAAAAAAAAAAAAAAGTCATTTCTTTGTACCAGGGTGTCTTTATTTCTTATAATCTGTTTTTGTTTGTTTGTTTGTTTTTTTTGTTTTTGTTTTTGGTGGTGGTGGTGGTTTTTTACATGTTTAAGATCTAACTGTATAATCTGTTATCAGGAGGTGCTAAGGTACAGCCCTTTTTATAGAATAACTTTTCAGGTTACATCAGCTTTGAACCTTACTTGGGTCAGAAATGATGACTTGTGTCATGTGGGAAACAATTTCTTTGCCAAAAGTTTGAAATTCTGAAAAGATCAGCTTGCAGAAGGAAAAAAATAGCAATAGCACTCGATTTTGTTTTTCATCTCGGTTCCCAAAAGAACCTCAGATTCCCTTTAAGTTCTATAAATGTAATTATTCGAGATTCAACTCATGGCTTACAAAAAAAAAAAATGTAATTGCTGTCTTGCTAATGCAATGTATCAGCACTGTGTCTTGTCCCACTGGCTGGTGAATCACAGATTGGGCTGATAAACTGAATTTAGGAAGTACAACTCCCAAAGAGGCAGTTAACAATGGCAGGATGCTGCAAGTTCAGGAAATGCAGCCTTGGCTGTAGGGCAGCATTGGTAAGGGGGCATTTGTCTGAGGTTCGAACCTCAGACATGAGGCTTGACTGTTCTGCCTGGCACTGTAGGCAGATGTCTACATCACTTGAGGCTCCAAAATGTGTTGTACTTCTTCAGTAGAACTGCTTCTTTGTCATCCTATCCTTAAAAACCTTTACCTTGGTATTGTTTTCAAAACTAAAGGGGAAATATAAGCAGAATCATCAGAATAGATAACCTGGGACAATGGCCACAAGCTGTGGCTTGAGAGGTTCAGAAAGGACATCAAAAATATTCTTCACTGTGATATTAGAGCAGCACTTGAACAGCTTACTGAGAGACGTGGTAGTCTTCCTCCCTGGAGAATTTCTAAATTCAACTGGGAAAAAAGCCACAGGCAACCACATCTGACTTGGTATAGGCGTGCTGATAGTCCTCAGAGATGTGAGTTGAAGTGAATGATCCCACTGGGTACCTCGTGTCCGAATTTGTAGGATTCTGCCAATAAAACATCAGGGGCTATGTAACTGTAAGGTTTTACCTAAATTAAGCAATATCAAAATAGGTTGACACAACATGTGCAGAGGATAAGAGACAGTGTTAACTCAGGCCTCTGAGCAGGTTAATTCACCAATAAATGGCGGGTGTTATGTTTTTGTGAAGGAAAAGAGTCTAATGGCTTTCTTCCCTTGGCTTGTGCCTTTCCTGTTGGCTTTGGAAAGGCTATTAATGGAGCATATTACTTATCTGGTACAAATAGCCTCTCTTGACCACTTAGTCTACTCTGATCTTTTTATGACAAGCCTATTTCCTTTAGATTGTATAAATTTGATTTTTAGGCTCTTTTTTTCACTGTCTTAATTCTGACTTGTATCTGTTTATGGGCACCGAAAAGTGACCTCATAGTTCTGAAGATGATGTTCTTCATTCTAAAACTCTCCAGAATTACAGGTAGTTTTGGCTGATGTATCAGTAAACTTCTTTGAATTGCCTCCTTTACCAGATGATTTGGGTGTCATTCCGTTGATCAAAAAAATCAACGTCTATGTAAAATTAAAATGGAAAAGAAAATCAAGAGGCTTCCAAGGTCTATTACATATCCTACAATCATTGTAAATACAAGTTCACTGGGATTAAGATTTGTGTGTCTTGCCTTTGGGGATAAAATGTCTTTGGAATATATTTAAATTTGGTAAAGATCTTTTATCATGGAGGTTTTGAAAATTAAGTTATAGTTCTTCTGCCTTAAGTTTAATTCAGTATTAAAACTGTCAAGTAGTTGCAACACTGACTTACATTTCATGGGATATGTAGACAGACTTGTTGCCTCTATACTTGTTGATTTTTCCACTAGATGGCATTATGCATTAACTGCAAGTTAATTTATAAACTTCCCTATAATTGAATGTGCTAAAGACTTTAAAAACAAGAAATGATCTATAGTGCTTACTCCTATCCTATGCAAGAGGGAAAGAACTGTGGCTTAAAAATCACTTGACCTACTTCTACCTAAGAGTAAGCCAATCCATCCTTAATGCATCAAATATGGATTTGCTCAAAGCAATAAAGGAAGTGAGCCATGGCAACAATATCTGATCCTGTGTGCTGTGCACTTTTTAGAATAAAACTCTTCCAACCTTTTCTGCATTTAACATTTGAAGAGTGACTTCAGTGCTGCAAATTGCTTCCTTTCTGGCTACATGGCTTCAGCTGAAGTAACAGGAAGAGTCCTAAGTAAAGGCAGAAGATAGCTTTTAAATAGAGAGTCTTATAAGAGACTTTGTTTTCTATTTAGTAAGTAATTCAGGCAAGCTTATCAGAATAATTTATCGCTGCAAGTATAAATATAGGTAAGCTGTTGTTGCCTTCACCTAGGTAAAATGAACTATTAGTGACCCCTTACACTGCACAATTAGATGCTGCTCAAGAGCGAGGTTTCTAAAACAGAAGGTCCTAACTAGCAAAGCACCATCTGCAGTGGAACAAAGGTCAAACACCTTCGAAAGAAGATTTTTGCTTTAATCCTAAAATTTGTGGTGATTAGGCAAGGAGCAAGCAGCTCTCCCAACAGCAAGAAGAAGGCAAGGGCAAGGATTTGGTACGTGAGAAGCAAGGATGCAGCACTAGTGGTGCAGGGAGAGGAGAGGAAATGAAACAGGCAGGTAGCAAAGCCAGTGGTGGAGGAAAAAAGGAACCATGAGGGTGAAGAATGTGGTGACAGGAAGGCCCAAATTTTTATGCCAAGCTTGCTAATTTTTTGTGTGTGTCAGTGTGTGTAGGCACATGGGTATTAGTTTTAAATCCATGATATGGGGGAAAAGATAGCTAGGTGGTCCTCTGGTTTTAACTTGTTTTCCATAACTACAGATGGGATTCTCAAAAGAGTGCTTATCATATTGCTGATCGGATATGTATTGTCCAGGGTGCAGTTCTCTGCATTGTGTTTTCTGAGGTTATTTGTATCTTGATTTGTTATGTAGAATATGAGAGATTCCAGGCTGGAAATGGGCACGTTATTTTATTGTGATGGTGCATGTTACTGTCTACGAAATCTTAAATAATATGTAAAAGGGGGTCTAGAATACAAACTGAGATGAACCAGTTTGGTTGAGCTGGGCCAAAAATGGAAAATCATCCAAGGCGAAGAAAACCCTAAATATGAGCTTAGTATTAAACAGGTCTCTTAAATTTTCCTGGTAATAAAGCATGGAGTAGGAAAATACTTTTTAATTATTTTTTTTTTTTAACAACTTGTGTTTAAGGTTGTCTCTGAATTGGGCTTCTGTGAAGAGTACCTACCAATGTCTGTTGTAAAAAAATATCAGAATAATTGCCCTAAATTCAGACTGTTAAGCTATTTATGTTTTCTACTCAAAGCTTTATTTTACTTGTGGTAGCCCCTGAGTTTTAATAAAGTATAGTTTTAATTGCTGTATGCAGTGCATGGTATAGATAATGCAATTTATGACTCTTTGCCTTAGCAGTGTTTATAGTTTGTACTTGCCTGTGATGGTCAATGTGATTCAATGCTTCAGTGACACTGATGTAAAACATGTCACAGTACCTGCTTTCTACCACACTGTTATTAAGCCTTTGGAAGCTCAGGTCAGCAGGTTGGGCATCAGGAGGTTTTGTATAGGCATCTGTCTTTTTTCCAACACTAACCTTTTCTTTCTTCATCCTCCAGCTCGTGTTGCAGAGGCCTGGATCTGCTGATAGGTACATCATGGTATGATGGAGACTGTAGCACAAGTGAATGCTGGTGGTAGCGTCTGTCATCTGCTGTCATACCAAGGTAGGGGATCGTTTATTTTATTTCAGCTGGTTCAGGCTCACTCTGTGCTCTTCTGAGATACATATATATATATATATATATACACATATATATATTTGATTTTGAGTGAACTGCACTGAATCATGGAAAAGCAGACTAACTTAAGAAGCAATCTAACTGTATTTCAGCTATATTGTTGAAGCACCTATAAACTGCAACTCTGGATTAGAATATAATTCCACTGAATTGGTATAACTGCTTTCTTTTTGTCTTGAGATGAAGAGTTTGTAGGTTTTTGTTTGTTAGTAGTATCAGAAATTATTTTAAAATTTTATTATTGGTTATTTTTTATAAGCACACCTGTTTTGTTACTAGGATGTGAAACTCAAAAGCTTCACAAATAGCATCAAATCTTATCATTAATACGCAGATATTCATATGAAAAAGATTAGTGCAAGGCCTTCCTTTACTGTTTGGTAAGTGGTGAGCATTTATTGAAAATCAACATAAAAACCTTGTATATGAAATGTATGTTCTACAATGTGATCCAAATGGTAGTGCTCCAGGCCCCTTGGGGATTTTAATACATCCACTTGTTTAAGAACATATTGCAGAGTTGAGTAAATGTGTGAGAAGAGTGAATATTTGGAAGCATGGACTTTTCTGTTCCTAACAATGCTGTTTTACCAGAGACGAAGGAAATTTAAAACAACCATTCATCAAGCAATAAATTGTATGAGTGTGTAAAACATTCATTACAAATTCCCAGCACTTAGCAGCAGGAGTTCAACCCAATTGTACTTTGACATTGAAGCCCCAGCCACAAAATTAGACGGCAGCAACTTGCGTCACTTACCACAGGCAAAATCCATTTCAATCAATATTAAATAAGTGTTCTATGTATATATTGCAATCACTAGTTGGTGCTCCGCTTAATGCACTACAAATTGTGACCAGTAGTATTTGGAGTGAGCTGCACAAATATTGTTCAAATGTATGGTTTATAATGCAATAATATTATAATGCAATTTTCTACCCTGAGGCACCATACTGACATGGGCAATCAGACATAATCCAAAAACTCTAAACTGCTTTTGTATTTAACTACTGAACTTTGGGAAAAGTTTACCTCTAATTCCTCATTTAAATTGGTCCATCTTTGCAAAAACTACTTTTTGATCTGAAACTATCTCTTACTAGATCTCTTCTGAAAAGACTAGTGACAGTTTTATTGTGTTGACCGATTACTAGTGTTCTATTAGCAGTTCATTGCCTTACAGTAACATTAAGAACTGCTAATAGGATATTCTGTAAAGCTTTACTCAATCACAGCCTGTGCAGCAGCATTATGGCCCCTTTTGCATTACAGAAACGTAGTCTGACCTGTAGCATCACCTTCTGATTCTACTGTAAAATTGCTTGTCACCAGACAACAGAGCAATACTCCATCAGTATTTATATTATATTTGATGGAAGTAATGCTAACCATCAGATAACCCTCCACAGTGCCAGGCTTCATTCAGGGTCAACACCAGTGGGAGAGTATGAGTGTCATGACTATATTCTTATAATCATCTGTTAACAACTGGTTGTTTTTTCCAACTGACCGCATTTTCTGTGATATGTAGACATGAAAGTGGTAATCATTGGGACAAATTTTTGCTGAGATTGCTGGTGCAACTTCTGTAGAAGAACTGGAATGAGTAAAACTGAGTGAAAGCTTCAATATTTGCAGCTTTCTTAATCCCTATGATAATCTGAACTGTATTCTCATTCTGGTAAATAATTGTAATATGTTGTGGATTTCAAAAGAAATAGTTTTGAAGTATGAATCCTATTTTGGAATTATTGTATGGGGGAAAATAAATCCTGAAACGTGAAACAAAAATACCTATATTTGAACTCAGCAAGTGAAAGTAGGCTCCAGAAATCCCCTGTGGAGGCATTCCTCTGCTGAACGTCTTCCAGATGAATGAATAAGTGCACCTGCACTACGAAACCCTGAACATTTACATTGTAAATATCTGCATAGCTGGAAAGATCTTTGCACTGGCACTCATTGCTGTAGGTCTACAGATATCAATATTCCTGTCTCTCAGAGACTTTGTAAATGCATCATTTAAAATCACTGAAGCTGGGACTAATGATTTGCACAACAATTTCTGGAAACCAGGCTTTCATCTTAGTCCCTCGCAGAAGATCTCCTTGGTGAGTGGGATTCCCAGCCACTCAGAAATAATGGATCATACGACTTCGTGTTCAAGCAGACCTTGAGGATCCAGGAAGAAGCCTGTTTCTTCATCTCAGGCTTAGTAGCACAGAGGAGACATAAGCACACTTCTGCAGTGTTCTAGAGGCACGTGTAGGATTTTTTTAAGCAGTAGTACAAATTCAGATACTATTTTGAATAGTTGGTTACTTGTCTGTCTTTCTGAAGCAGCAAAAGCTCTGAGAAGACCATTCTTATCCCCAAAATTCAGACATCCCCAAACAATGGCACAGAGAGACCTGTGGAAAGAAAGGTGGGGATGTGTCCAGCACATGAAAAAAAGTTGTAAGACAACATTTGGCACCATATAATTATTTATTTATTTTAGAAACCGACCTTCTAAATGATTGCAACAATCTCATATGTTTCCGTGGGGTATTAACTTGAAAATTATGCTTTTAATATCAGTAGCTGTAAGCTTCAATCCATCTGTTCTTTCTGGCCCACACTACTGGTATCTGTCTGGTTGCTCTCACTGCACAAGAGTGACACTTGGCCTGATATGTTCTTAAGTAGAATCTCTTTTATATCTAAAAGAGAAAAAAAAAAAGAAAAAAAATTCTATTTTACTTGTGCTGAAATTCTGGAAAATATCTATTTAATTGTATTTGGTAGAACATTTCTATGCAAGATAAATGCATGGTAAGTGTAAATCACAATACTGCAGTTGTGGTGTATTAAGAAAATGATATTATTTGAAGGACAGTAATATGGTTTTATTTGGATTCAGAATGCCATCTGAGTTTCAAAAAATTATCAATTTTTAGAAATGTGAAAATAAATGAGAAGTTATTAAGGCTTACTTTACATGGCAGAGCATGCAGTAGTGGCCAGAAATTTGGCACGAGACACACTGTTTGCTTTCACCACTGTGTGATTCATGTGCTGCCAAAGGCATCAGCAACCTTGGCCACCTCTACACAATAAATTTTAGTGACGTCCTGTGCTGGCTGTGGCAGGTCTAATAGTTCGACCACCTGGTGAGGTCATCCTGAGCTTGTGCGACCATGAAGCTTCGCCAGGCAAGTTTGATAGCTTCAGAAGCATCAGAGATGCATCAGTACAGTGACATCTGAGCTAAAAAGCTCAATTTCTCTGCAAGACTAAACTGACTCAGACACAGAGCAGCATCAGCTCTGATGTTTGTCTAAACAGAAGCTCTTTCAGTTGTTCATTTCTGCAGAGGGTTTTGAGTAACAAAATGAAAAGTGTAGTTTCCTTGTCCTCAGATTTTGGAATCAGTACACTGGTACTGCTGTCATCTTGAGCTGATGCTGTGGCATCCAGACTAGAGACGTGTGTATCTCTGCTCTTGAATTCTGCAGACACGCATAAAGGAACTGCAGACATCACAGCCCAGCGAGCTAGGCAAGCCCTTGTGCGTTCAGCCAGTCCAGTCGGAGTGTTTGGTAGATGGCATTTAAGAAGGGGGAATTGTAATGCCACCCACTCTCTGGGATACAGCTTCATAAAGGGTTTTACGGGTGTAATTGTAGCTGGACGTGTCCTCCTGGTGTAGCTGTGCTATGTACACTGATGTTTTCCTAACAAAAATAAATCCTTTGCGTAGTATTTTGATATCTACATATGGAAGCTAGTGCATAGGAACTTCATCCTATTATTGCTCGTGAGAACAGAAACCACAACCATTGCTGTTGTTCCCCACAGAAGGGAAGCCTTACCATTTCCACTAAATTCTGGGTTCTCTGGAGTCCCAGAAAAGGATTAAGTTCTGCAAGTGGTCTAAAAGAAACTAGTGCCATACATAAATGTAGTGAGGCAGGTGGGGCATGTCACCGTTATGTATGTTCCCTCTTAATGTACATAGGAGGCTCCTTTTGGCTGGGAAGATGTCTGTGCACTTTAGTTCTCTCCAGCAGGTGTTGTGAGTACATTCATTGACTGATTTATGTACTTTTTTTTTCCACACTTTGTGTACTGGGCCTGGATGGGCTGGAGCTAACTTTCCACCGTGTTTTTTCCACTGCTGAACAGTGCTGGCACAGCATCAAGGCTGCCTCTCCAAAGGCCAGTAGGCTGGGGGTGGGCAAGAGGTGGGCAAAAGCTTCATAACATTTTTGTTATGAAGGTGTTGGTCTTCCTGAGCAACAGCTACATGTATCAAGGCCCTACTTCCCAAGATGTTCCTGAGCATCACTTGCTGCCTTTGCTATTTTTTCCCCTTTCATTAAACTGCAAGATTTGGATTTATTTTTTTTATTATTTTATTTTTTACTTTTCCTTCTTTTTCATTTTCTCCCTCTCCCTCATCCTGCTGAGGACGGGGAGTGAGAGAGCAGCTGTGTGGGACTTCGCTGCCTATCAGTGTTAAACCATAGCACTTTGCCATCTCATCTAAATGCTCTAGGATGTAAATACTCTGTGGGTAGCCCAAGAGTGGGTACAGGTCAGAGGCTGATACCTAACAGGTCTTTTATATGTGCTCAAATGGTAGGATGTACTTTCTGTTGTCCCAGTCGTTCTGTGTGTGAAAGCTTCCATCTGGTCAGAACCTCCTGCTTGACAGAAAGCACAGTGAGTTTCAGCTTCTCTCCCTCTCTCTAGGGCAGCCTGAAAAAGTTGCATGTCTTCCTAGCTACCATTGCCAGCTCCTGCACCTCTGCATCACACTCCAGAAATTCCCAACCAGATGGAGACAGATAGCAAGGGCCATGCTAAAAGCCGTCACGTTGTATTAGAGCACAAACTCAGCATAGAGGCCGAGGCATGTAAGTCACTCAGCTGGTAAAAG